AGACATATAGAACTTTATCAATACCAAAGGTATCTCGAAGTTAAGTATGTGGGGGAAAAGCAACAGTCTGAACAATTGGCAAACTCAAAATCACAGTAATTTCAAATTAACCACTTAGAGAACTATCTACTGTGATGAAACATCTCAGTTTCCACTGCAATAATCTCATTTTTGTTTAAGACAGTAAAGGTGAGGAGAAAGGGTAGAGTAGGCTGGCTAAAGAGCAATAAATGTTTCCATCTCATGAGAAACATTCTTTTATAAAAAGAAGGAAGGGAAAAGACATTTAAGAGTATGCAATAGTAGGAAAATCGTATTCTATGCATGTGCTTTTCACCTAACAATCACCTTTATAAAGTGGGTCAGGAGCAGCATGTATAAGAGTAAAGAGAACCTTTCCAGTGCACTGCAAAAATACATTTTGTTTACAAATGTGAAAAACTGTCCACCTGCCTTTGGAAAATACCACTTACCAGGATACGACATATAAATTACACACAACTGCTTCCCAAAGGACAAATCAAGTTTGAATAAACAGGCAATTCAACTCCACTCCAGTGATAGCAAACACCACAGAAGGGTGTGATTTCACCGCTGTGAATTTGCTTGTGAAGAGCAAATTCAAATGCACAAGCAAAAATAAGAAACCATTTGCAGGGTGGGATTTAGGCCTGAAGTAGAACTGGAATGCTGAAAAAGGAAACTGTGTAGAGATTTCTAGATGTTTGAAAGCAAAAAATCAACATCAAGGGAACAGGCCAGGTGTGGTGGCTCACACCTGTAATCCCAGCACTTTGAGAGGCCGAGGGGGGCAGTCACCTGAGGTCAGGAGTTCGAGACCTGCCTGGTCAACATGGAGAAACCTAAAAAAATACAAAAATTAGGCATGGTGGCGTACGCCTGTAATCCCAGCTACACAGGAGGCTGAGGCAGGAAAATCACTGGAACCCAAGGGACAGAGGCTGCAGTGAGCCAAGAGCCACTGCACTCCAGCCTGGGAAACAGAGCAAGACTATCTCAAAAAAAGAGAAAACTGACACATTTCAGGGTCAATGCAACAAAACAAGTTTAAGAATCCCAGACTAGGTGATTTTCCATAAATTGTTTCATTACAGCTTTTTAAATTACAAAATACTTGTAGGGCTTCCTATATTCCTTTCTGTTACAGCCCTTGAAGAGACCACTAAATTTTCATACACAGCAAACCTATATGAAAGTTTAAATATTAAGCAACGCAAATCAGAGGATCAGTTTTGTCTTATGGGGAATGTTCTATTACCTGGCAAAGAAGAAAAAAACAAAGGAAAAAACATAATTTTTTTTTTTTTTTTTTTTTTTTGGAAAAGGAGTTTTACTCTTGTTACCTACGCTGGAGCACAACGGCACAATCTCAACACACTGCAACCTCGGCCTCCTGGGTTCAAGCAGCTGTAGGCACACACCACCACGCCCGGCTAGTTTTTTTTATTTTTGTAGAGATGGGGTTTCACAATGTTGGCTAGGCTGGTCTCCAACTCCTGACTTCAGGTGATCCACCCGCCTCAGCCTCCCAAAGTGCTGGGATTACAGGTGTGAGCTACTGTGCCCAGCCCTTTATCAAATTTTTGTAAAGTCCAGACTCAGAGAGCAATCATCAACTAAAAGTAAGAACAAAATTAGAAAAGATCTCCCCCTGAAAATCATATTGAGATTACATGAATTATGTATAATTCATTTTCATCCTATAATTCTAAATATGAAAACAAAGAAACAATGATACAATTGCTGAAAATTCTAAAGAAACATTTTCTAAGGCTATTAAAAAAAACTTAGAAAATCTTTCGTGCAGTGACTAATGAGTAAGAAATAACATTGTGAATTAGAGTAAAAATATTGAAAAGTACAAAATGGCACAAATACATATAACTGTACTAGATTATATTAAATATTACATGGTTAATTTTTTATCTTCTGTAAAACAAATATTTATTGACTTGTCACCTGTTCTAATTAAGGGACCAATTGATAGAAACATCATATTCTAACTTAAAGGCAAAACTTTTGTAAAAAAATCAAACAATTCATTGCCTGTGGGGAAGATGAAACCACAAACTCAACACTGTCACTTCTCAGAAAATATTTAAAAGAGTAAATTTTCCAAACGTATCCAGCATTTCTTTGGTCACAATTTGCCTACTGTGACTCTCTAAATCACTATTTCCTAGTTATGAAAATCTCATACACTCTCCATATCATTCTACGTTTTTTCTTTGCAGACATAATGAATTAGTATATACAATAAGCTCGTTTTAATTTTTTTAAAAATAATTTACTTAATTATTAGTATTACAAAATACTGAATTAAAGCAAACTTCACAATAAAAATCTTAAACCATTCTTTTTTTAGAGACAGGGTCTCTCTGTGGCACCCAGGCTGGAGTGCCACTGCACCTTGACTCTTGGGTTCCAGCGATCCTTTCACCACAACTTACCGAGTAACTTGGACTATAGGTGTGCACCACCATGCCTAGCTAATTTTTCTATTTTTTGCCCTAGGCTCAAGCAATACTGCCATCTCAGCCTCCCAAAGAGCTGGGATTACAGGTGTGAGCCACTGCACCTGGCCTTAAATAACATATTATACCAAGATAAAAATGTAAGACCAATTTTTATTTTTCCCACCTAACAAATGACATTAAGGATCTTCAGTTAATTTAGAAATAGTTATGTAAAATACAATGATTCATCATAAATCATTTATAAAGTTACCTTTCATATTGAATTTTAAGATTACATATATATCACAATCAAAATGGTATTATGCTTTCAAAAATAGAGACAAAAAGCTATTTTCATGACCTGATATTTGAAATGTTAACTTTCATACTTTTAAAAAACCTAGCTGGCTTGTTTTTGTAGTTTTCATTTCTTTTTAAACAACTATTTGTGAGAAAAGGTTTGAAGTCCTGGACCTAACTCTTCGAATGTGTAAACTCTTATTCTCCAAAAATGAAGAACCAAATTTGATTTCATCATATTGTATACTACCTATTGTACCATTATTTTTAGAGTACTAACGACATCTTGATATGCTACATAACAATATTTATGAAATTGGTATAATTTACACATTTGGTAATAATTGTCTTGAGGCAAATTTATAGGATTATCATCCTTATTCTTAAGTTGTTGTGTATCAATTAGCAGTGACTTATTCACCAATGGTTTATTTGAAATTGTTTAATAGAGGAAACCACCAAATTGATTATGATTTCCAGCTGAGTGATAAATCTGAGCAACGACATAGCTCTCAAACTAGTCAACTAATAAATATCTGAAAGTTTTCAAATTAATATATTTTAAGTAAAAAATACTTATATTTTTAAAAAGACGGTATTGAAAATATGATTCCTCCATTAAGGATATAAATCCTCTAGAACAATTTAGAAAATGATGTAGGAAAATGCTAAATAATGTTGTTCTTGGCTGGGAATACAAAGTTTAAAGAGAGACTGATATTTAGCTTGATACTAAAATATCAAACTTCAAGAAGTAGCTTATATTATCTTACAGTGATCAATGCAGTATGTCACTGATGTCCAAAATCAAGTTTCACAAAATATCCTTCTATAGAAAATACAATTCATTTATCAGAAAAACTACCTAAATCTCGGAAACAGGCAAAAATTATTATTGGGTGTTCTTTCACGCAGTGGTGGGATTATATCTTCAACTGACTCTCTATAGACTGATCAATAAGTATTAACCTCTGTAGGAGTACAAGTTAACTTGAGGATTCTGTCTAGAAGAAAGGTAAGTGATTGTTGTCTCATGAGACTGATACATTTCTGTCCAGTGGCATAAGAGACAACCTCAAAGTTTACAACTTATGGATCTATAGAACAATAATTAGTTTTGTATCTAATTTGGCTGGCAATCTTATCTTCCTATAAAAACCATTTCTCAAATGCTCTTTGAATTACAGCTTACAAATTATTGGTAACCTTATTATCAATTAATTGAATAATGTATTTGACTCATGCTCATTTTATATTTGCATGAGAGTCATGATTTCACCTCTAGGAAAACAACACTTTAACAAATGCTTAATCAATTTAAGAATATGAAGTGGATCAAATTCTGACTTTCATCAATTATTTTCAAATAGCCATCTCCATAAACATTCTAATACGTATGCATACTATTAAATTTATGAAGAAAAAGGTTACTGGTTGCATTCAAAGTAGCTACCATTTTACTAAGTAGAAATCTAAATTTCAAATGTATCTTAACACTATCAAAGAAATCTGAAATCTAATAATCAGCATAAAGGGAACAAGAATTAAAAAGAACTACAAAAATGAAGGAAAAAAAAAAAGATCATTACCCAGCACAAGCATTTCAAACTTTTGCCAAGGCTGTTGAAAGGCAATAAAAAACATGAATTTTTTAAAATAATAAAGCCCTACATAAATATTACATTTCCCATTCATTTTATATACATTAGAAAAGTCAAGACAAGACAAATTAAATAACTAAACCACAATACTGTATTAACTAGCATATACCATGGTTCAACAAGTTTGAAGAGAAAGGTATTTACTATATGGTCTTTAATAAAACATTTGTGCAGGTTTTCTTTAGTCTCAAATTTAACTCATAAAAAGATTAAAAACTTGTTTCTCCTTTACTCTCATTCTTCCTTCTGTGACTATAATACTTATCCTTTCCTAATAAAACATTCCCCAAGAACCTACCACTGAAACTTTCACTTTGTAGGCACTGACTGAGATGTTTTATTATTATTTCACTTTTGCTAAGCATGTGTGTGCAAGATCCAGAATGAAAATCTGCCTTTGTATGTATTTCTGCACTTAGTAAAGATGTGCATGTGTATCTATGTTCATACACACGCTATTTTTATATGTATGTCTGCTTGTACCTATTTGTTGAATATTTTTCTCAAGAAAAATACTATTTTAAAAGATATAACACACTTTAGAAAAAGAGATTACATTTACCTCAAAGCCAAGTCTATCCTTTTCTTTCCAAAAACAAAAATGTGTTACTTTCTTATCCCAGAATTCATCTGGCTTTACCACACAAACAAGGGACACCTCAGCTGGAACAACATTCTACAAAATACAGAAAAATAATTACAAATTACACATGTAAAATGAATAATTTACTAAATTTATAAATTACCAGTCAAGATTAAGCTACATAAGAGACTTTTGGAAAAGAATTAAAATAATAGAGAAGAAATTCTCTAAATTTTAAAACATACATGTCAATAAAGAAGTATTTAAAAAAGCTGACTTAGAAAACACTTCAAATAAACAATGCAGCATAATTGTATATGTAAATCACTTTTTGTTTTATTGTATCTCTTACAGTTTATATTAAACTGTAAGAGTTAACTTTTAGTTGCGAAATTATTAAATGTTTTTTCTACAATATAAAAAAATTTTTCTAACACAATCATCTTGGAGAATTTCTTCAAAAGATGTAAAATCAAATTTCTCACCAAAGTTAAGTTTTTTATCAGTCATTATACAATGAGGCCAAGATTTTACATGACTATTAACTTGAAGAGGAGAACAAAAAGCTAATCTTTGACAAATACAATTTCACATTTACTTGATATGGTTATTTATACTACCTAATGAATTGAAACAAACACTTATTGAATTAATATATTTCACATATATTTTATCAAGTCCCACAGAGTCTAACTTTAAAATGTATCTTAAATCCAAGTTCTACTGCCTGCATTGTTAACAGCCCAAACTATCCAGCTTTCTGAAATATCATTGTAACAGGCCTCCTTGCTGGACTTTTTCTTGCACTCTGAATGAAATTCAAACCTGTTACTAAGACCTAAAAGGCCCTCCAAGCTCAGGTCCCTGCTGGCCTTTCAGATCTCATCTTAATACCTTCCCCTCCTAGCTCACTCCTCCACAACAGCCACGCTAACCTCACTGTTCCTGCAATATGAAAAGTCTGTTCCACTTCAGGTCTTTGTCCATGCTATTTTCCCTATCGGGAATGTCCTTTGCCTTATACCTAGGAGTGCTTCCTCAGTTTATTTAAGATTCTGTTCCAACATTCCCTCTTCAGAGAGGCCTTCCCTGTCCACCCTATCTATAGTGGCATCATCTGATTCAGTCTCTTTTACTGCTATATTTTTCTTCGTAGCATTTATCAGCATGGGCTGTTACATGACTTGCTTTAATTTGCTTAACTGCTTATTGTCTAACTCTTCAAGTAGAATATAAGCTTCCCAAAGGCAGGTACCTTATCTATCCTGTCATCCCTCTATTTCCAGTGTTTATGACAAAATATCTGAAATATATAATAGAATACATGCTACAAATATTTGTTGAATAAGTGAATCCTCATTAATAAGTGGATCTCATTCTCTCAATTTTACAGAAGACTAATTTAATCAGAGAAATAAAGTCACTTGTCTGAAATAAGAGTTGAAAAGTCACTGAGCTGAACAGAAACTACCTCTATCTGACTCAAGTTCTACTACACTATTTCATATGCTCTGAACCTGGGTCAACACATTCTTTCCTAAAGGTCCAGATAATAAGTATTTTAAGCTTTGCAGGCCATAATGTCTCTGTTGCCACTACACAGTTCTATCAGGATAGCAGGAAAGCAGCCACACACAATATACAAATGAATAGGCATAGCTGAGTTCCAATAAAACTTTATAAACTCAAGAGCCCAACCTCTGTTCTAACCAATAATGGCAGCACTGAATAATTATCATAATTACTATGACTATTATTCAGGGAAAAATAGGAAACCTTTAGAGGTAAACATGCACACACCATAAATCTAGCATCTACTGCAACAACTGAATTATGACTAAGGTAAGCAAAATAAATTCAATGGTATCAAAACTTTTATCAGAGGGGCTGGGAAATATAAGATAGAATTGAGCTTTATTCATATACTACCTTGTAGAAGATAATTATTTCAAAATCATTGAATATGAAAGCTGGGAGAAACAAGAGAAACCAAGCCCCTTATTTTAGAGAATACTAGTTATAGACACTGTGGGGTCCCAAAGAACTGATCCCAGTACCTTCCAAGATGAAAGCAATGAATGACTTCATATGTAGAAACTGTCTGGCTAGAAGTAAAGAGGCCATTGCAACTTCTCAAAATGTTAACTATTAATAAATCCAAAAGTTGTTAAAATACCTATCAGAAAAGAAATCGCAAGAGGGGATTAAATCATCCATTGATTGTTCTTCAAAACTGCCATTGATCAAAGTCCAGTTCAAACAGCAAGTCCCAAACAGCTCATCTGTGACACAGTTGAATGACAGGATGAAAGGAAGAACACAAGGTCATAATTAATGGATTTCTTACCTAATAGTTATTTTAACAACTTTCACAGAGAAGAGTTAATTCTCAAGGTTTGAAATATAAAAGTGCTGGAAACACTATTTTTCTTTTCAAAGAAAAAGTTATTTTAGGACGCCAATTTGTGTTCACTTAAAAACTAATCCTCCAGAGGATATGTCCTTTCTAACACAAAGAGTGATTCTAGCCTGTAATCCCAGTGATTTGGGAGGCTGAAGGAGAAGGATCACCTGAGCTCAGGAGTTTGAGACCAGCTGGAGCAATACAGTCTCTACAAAATAAAAAAAACTTAGCCAGGTGTGGTGGTGCTCACCTCCAGTCTCAACTACTCAGGAGGCTGAGGGAGGAGGACTGCCTGAGCCAAGGAATTGGAGGCTGCAGCGAGTCATGCTACTGCACTCCAGGCTGAGTGACAAAGTCAGTTCCCAACTTAAAAAAGCGGGGTAGGTAGGGGGTTCTAATGATGAAGTTTAAGCTAAACATTTAAGAAGAATGAGGCAATTGGGTAGAAAATTCAGAGACCACCTCAGATGCATGCCACCGGCAAATATACACTTTAAAATGGATAAAGTCAAGGCCTGGGGCTTCCTTAGTTTATGCTAAATTCCAATTTTAAGCTATTTAAAATCCTTGAGCCTCCTGACCTTCTCTGTAAGGTTGTAGGGCCAAAATTAAATGAGATCATTTATATACCAAGCTTAGCACAGTACCAGAACCGTAATAAGCACTAAAACTAGAACTACAACCTAAAACTACCACTTTGTTCCTATCCCTTGAATCCCTTTTCCCCAATTAACCAAATAAATGATAAAACATTAAGAACCATTCTCCTTCGTTATAACTTAAATTTTAAAATTATATTCCTTTCCACAGAACCCTAAAGCAGCTACATATTATTTGTCAAATTCATTTAAAATTCTTGATCTTTCTTTCACTATCACTAATACCCACTTACGTGAATGATCCCAAGTTAGTGCCAATTTATGTTTCCCCCAAACTGGCCTGCCATCACCTACTCTCATTGTACTTACTTCATTTTTGAGCTATGTAAGTGAAGAGTCTCTGTGAGGAAGGCCCTCTTTACTTTCTTTAATTTAAATTGGATAATTCAAATTTTACCTCGCTAGAAGCTCTCAAAAGTCATTGAGCTGAATAGAAACCACCTCTGTCTGACTCTAAAGTTCTTCTACTCTGTTTCATTTGCTCTGAACCTGGGGTCAATACAGTCTTTCTGAAAGGTCCAGATAATAAGTATTTTAAGTTTTGCAGGTCATAATGTCTGTTGCCACAGAAGGCTAGGTGCATGAGAGCAATCGGCCCTCTACATCACTCAAATGTTTTATTTTTCCTTTTCAAATCATATCTTCAACGCCCTTAAAATAAATCAACAAATGTCTACTGGGAGCCTACTACATGCCAGGGATAACAGAAACATTCTGTGAGAAACATGAGGAAATATAAAATACAAGATTGGCATCGGATCTCAAAAAGTTTGTAATCATAGATGTCTATTAAATGTTAATTTGTGAGGGGATGAAGTCCCTGAGGACACAGCTGTTAAGTAAGTTTCTTCTGAGCTATAAACAAATAATAAGATCATCATAAATCCTGACGCTTTATGTAGGAAATAGGGGACTAGAAGAGAAAAACATGCCAGAATCACCTGAGAAGTTTCTTCGAACTAGACTTATCCAATCCTACCACTTACCTATAGTTTCAGATTGGGGTACAGGAGGGAGAATGATACAGACACCAGAGTATGCAAAAGCTCCCAGGTAAGTCTCATAATTTCAGTGCTCACACTTTTAAAATCACTGGCCTCCTTTTTTAAATTACTTAAACATGACATATTATTTTCATTTACAAATCTATTACAATAGAGTTGAGATTTATTTAACTGCTTAAATTCGAACCTAAGGAGTTGAATTTGAACAATCCAGTAGCGGTAAATGCATTTTCAGAACTCAGTCACTGCTAGGAAGCCAGGCATACTCCAGTAAATTAAATGCATTTGCCATTTTAACCAGATCTGTTGCTGTAAAATAAAAACCACTTCCTGATAGACAAAACCAAAATTACCTGTAGCATTACAACTACTGTTTTCACCACATTCCACTGTGATTTTCTGCCATCCACAATGACGGTAAATCCTCTAGCCTTACACTTCTCACTGAAACAAAACAAAATTACAACGCATTAAAACAAGCTCCAGATTTTGTTCTTCGTAATTCTATATAAAGAAAGTTTAAAAGTTAATTGCATATGGAGTAGAATTAGTCTCATTTGGTTTAGTTTACATTGTCAATAAATAAAATTATTCAGAGTATCCTTTCCTTTTCTCAATCAATTTATTTTTCTCATTTTAGGAAATGTTGGCAATTTATAAACTATGGTGGCAAGAAAATTATTCTAAAAGCATAAAAGCCAACGTCTTAAAAGAGAGGAAATCAAAGCAACATTCAAACAATACTACTAGCTTCTCAATTTCTTCATCTGTAAAATGGGATCACGGTGAAGTAAGTCATTAATTGCCAAGGGTGTTATATATTTCTTGTCTTGCCTTCCTGCCAGAAGTTTAAGATTTGTGAAGTGATAGTTCAAAACAGATAAAAAATAAAGTAAGTTATTAATAAACCACAATAATGGGCTTCTTAGCACTCTTCTGGAGAAATTTAACAAGATGAGGTAGAACTTGCTGATTAAAAAGCTTGAACAGACCATGTCTAACCCACTTCTGCTCTCACTTTTGCATTCTCAGTCACTTGACCAGCAGAATATTATCGTCAGTGTTGGAAAATGTGTTGTTCCTATATTATATTAAGTGATTCAAGCATTAACTAAACACTTCCCAGAAGTCTAACCTAATAAAACTCAACTGCTTCTGGAGGAAAATATTCCATTCTCAAGGCTAAAACTACGTATGCATTGTTATTATGACTGTGTTTTACTTACCAACTTAATATAAGGATCTCAAATGCCCTCCTTCCAATACAGAAAAAGTAACTACAACTTTGCTTATCAGAGCAAGATTTTGGTAGCAAAACCTGTCCCCATCCAAACTGTTCCCAATTATATACTTTATAGAAAAAATAAACAGTAGACCGTTTCCTGGGATTTAAATCCACTAGCAGTTCAGGGGACTTTACTAGTCCTTCTCTTCACCCTCCAAGCATGCACACTAGTTCCAAGAAGCTTCCTGGAGAAGTCATGTCCTGTTCTAATGATGATATTGCTAAAAGTTTAGAATGGGAACAGGCAAGGACAGAAGCTGAGGTTCCAAAGTAAACAAAAGAGTATTCAAGAGGTAAGGCAAAGTGATGCATATGTTCACACAAAAACCTGCATGTAAATATTCATTGCAGAATAATTCATAATAGCTAAAGAGTAAAAACAATCCAAACGTCCACCAACTGATGAACAGAAAAACATAACATAGTATAACCAAACGATGATACATTATTCAGCCATAAAAAAAGAATGAAGTACTGACAGATGCTACGACATGGCTAAACCTTGAAAACATTATGGTAAGTAAAGGAAGCCAGACACAAAAGGACATACTTTGTATTATTCCATTTATATGAAATGTCCAGAATAGGCAAATCCAGAAAGCAGATTAGCGGTTGACAAGTGTTAGGAGGAGAGAATGGAGAGTGACTACCAATGGGAACAAGGTTTATTTTGGGCTGATAAAAATGCTCTGATATTAGATAGCATAATGGATGCACAACCTGTGAATATACAAAAAATCACCAAATTGTATACTTTAAAAGGATGATTTTTATGAATATGTGGATTACATCTGAATAAAACACTTTAAGTACTCTATTTTTTTTTTTTTTTTTTTGAGACAGAGTCTCTCTCTGTTGCCAGGTGCCAGGCTGGAGTGCAGTGGTGCGATCTCAGCTCACTGCAACTTCTGCCTACTGGGTTCAAGCAATTCTCCTGCCTCAGCCTCCCAAGTAGCTGGGACTACAAGCGCACGCCACCACATCCAGCTAATTTTTGTATTTTTAGTAGAGACAGGGTTTCGCCATGTTGGCCAGGATGGTCTCAATGTCTTGACCTCGTGATCTGCCCACCTCGGCCTCCCAAAGTGCTCGGATTACAGGCATGAGCCACTACGCCTGGTCAAGTACTCTATTTTTTGATTTGCACAAATAAAGGATCCACTAAACACTCTTTGGGAAAAATTAAAGGTAAGGCAATACAGTGATCACTTGTGGGTTAGCAAAAGAAAATAAAAGACTTGCAGAGGGGACCAGGTAAGGTGATTCACATCTCTAATCCCAGCATTTTGGGAGACTAAGGCAAGATGATGACTTGAGCCCAGGATTTTGAGACCAGCCCAAGCAACACAGCAAGACTCCATCTCTATTTTTTTTTTCCAAGACAAAGTCTTGCTCTGTCACTCAGGCTGGAGTGCTGGGATGTGATCTTGGCTCACTGCAACCTCCGCCTCCTGAGTTCAAGCAATTCTCCTGCACCAACCTCCCAAGCAGCTGGGATTACAGGCACATGCTACCATGCCCGGCTAATTTTTGTGTTTTTAGTAGAGACAGGTTTCACCATGTTAGCCAGGCTGGTCTCAAACTCCTGACCTAGTGATCTGCCCACCCTGGCCTCCCAAAGTGTTGGGATTACAGGCATGAGCCACCACGTCCGGCCGACTCCATCTCTATCTTTTTAAAAATAAAAGACTTGTGGAAAAAAAGCAAACCTTTCATCTAATTACTATCTGTGGGGTCAGGTAATGAGGAGATTCCTGGAATTCTCCACGAACAAGACATCTAAGAAGACTGTCATGACTTAGGAGAGGATACAAACCCAAAAGAGATCAGCTAGGCAGGGTAGCTGGCTGTTGAGTGGTCTGGAGAATCGGCAACAACGCAGAGATTCTACCAATGCCTTATGCAAGTTTGCAGGAAGGAGAGCTAAGGCACAGCTATCCAGGAGAGGGCCCACCAAGAGAAATGTGCCATTCCCATAATGTGGTACTATCCCTGAGTTGCAGGTTACACAGCCATTTTGTTAAATACATTTTATACAAGCAGTATATTTATATTTCAAAGCATACTATAAATTAATCTGTACATTAATACTAAGAAAGTAATGAAGCTTGCAAATACCATCTGTAGTGATCTTAAAGGAATAAAATACTCTAAATTTATCTTTCAGAGTACTTAGAAACTCACTTAACCCTGTCATTTTCTCACATTTTACTAAGATAAATAATGAAAATACACAGAATCCAAAGATAACTATTTCAAAGTTGCCAGACCAAGTGGCCTTTCAAGTACTTGAAATAGTTTTGTTTTTTACTTCATCCCTGTAAGTGGAATGATGGCTTAAACTGCTTTTAACAACATAGTTAATTTAAAAGCATGTTATACACTTTATATAGGGCCTGTTGTAGGACCTGTAGTGCCATTAATAATAAATTCCTATACCCACTGTTAGCAGGTTTATAACTATATTTTAAGAACAGTAATAAAAAAAAAACTAAGACCTAGTCTCCTAGTTCCTAGTCCAGCTAAGCCTTTCAAGGGTGATGTAGCTAAGTTAAAATAGCTATATAGACATGAGGCTGTCTAAACAGTCCACTAACTTTTGACATAGAAGAGAATGTTAGTGAATTTCCTGGGACCAATATCCTGCAGCTCTTAACTCATTTCTTCGATTACAACTAAAGGCTTCTTCTCTTCCACTCATAGAACTCTGCTGATACTTACATAATGGCACTAATTTCACTTATGCTTTTTTTATAATTACTTGTTTATAATTCATCATCATTAGATAATATGCTTCCAAAAAGCAAGAATGTTATCTTGCAAATGTCTTGGCAGCTTCTAGAACTATACTTTAAATATGGAGGGCCTTTAATAATGTTAGATAACTCACATCATATCACATCACATCACATCACATCACATCACATCACATCACATCACATGACTCCTCAGTCAGATACGACAATGGCTTTCCATTTCATTCAGAATTGAAGCCCTTACCACGGCCTACGTGGTCTTCCATGACCTGACTGCTGACTCTCTGACTGCCCTCCCAGCACTGTGTCCCTCTCTAAAACTGCTCCAGCCACACCAGCCTCCTTGATGTTCTCAAAACACATTAAGCCTGCTCCTGCCTCAAGGCCTTTGCACTTAATGCTCACTGTCTTCAATGATCTTTGATTAGATTCTGCAGGGTCTGTCCCTCCTTTTAATCATCTCTGGTAAAATATCATTTTATTTTGTAAAGTATCACCACTCTATCACTCTGCTCACTCTTTTCATGCTTTGCTTTCATAGCACTCATGAATATCCAAAATACTGTACACTCAGTATCTGAAACACAGAACAAACTTAGGGCCAACCTGTGTAGAAAAGAGTCAAGAAATGCCTCCATTCTCAACTGAGCTAGGTTACCCATTTAAAATAACTATATATCACACCTTGTTCCTGTGACCATTAAAAATAAGCACAAAGTCTAAGTAAGAAATGGAGTTATTTCTTTTTATTTTTGCATAAATTTTTAAAAGTTATATTTAAAACATTGAGATAGTCATTGCACAAAAAAATCAATTTTGGACATCTCCTATTAGGAAGAGGCCACATTAGCTAGCTATACTGCTGGAGATGTCTGAAGTTCACAGCTGGACGGAGTTAAACATTAACAGCTGGATACTGGGAGACAAAAGCAGGACACACAAGAATGTAGACATACTAGAAATGAAAAAACCTTTCTAGGCACATGCTGGGCCTGATCTGGCAGGGTAATTTAAAAACATTCCTAGGACAAAACGAGAGGTGAAACATGGGAGATAACATGATAAAGTATAATGTTAGTTTTAGATTTTCTAAGTGGTGGACATATGGGTGTTCACTGTATAATTCCTTAACCTATTTTGTATATATGAGCATTTTAATAAAATGTTGGGAGGGTTACATTTTAAAAGCACTTGAGTGGTGGAAATTCTGAATGAAAAACATTGGTTTTAAGATCACACATCTAGTTAGCTGTTCTCCAGCATCACAATGGAGAAATCAAAAACACCTTAGCTCTCTAAGAAAATGGCAAGTATTGATAAAAAGCTGACAGCCACGTTTGTTAAAGCCAAAATTATGGGAGGCTGATCCAAGAAAGCAGAAGGATAGAGTTTTCACGAATATTTGAGAAGGCCAAACTTTTGCAAAACAATTAAGAAAACGAAGTATCCAGGTATCTATTTTGTTTTGCTAGAATACGTTCTTTCATCTTACTTCAACTTACACCTTCTCTGCTAGTTGGCAGGTATGTGCAGATATGCAGAAACTAATTCATCATTTATACTGGAGGAACATCATACATATATTTATATGACAAAGAGAGAGAAGATTTAAATAGTATAGGCTATTTTGCCTGCCACTGTACTTCCTGCTTGTCTATGCCAGCGTGAACATGAGCCTGGAGCTGTGAATGAATCTGCTGGTCCTTTAGCCTGCCTCAGTTACCCAGTGCCTCTGACAGGGAGAGCATCCTGTTGAATTGAATGTGATCCCAGTATATACAAACATGCATTTTCTTAAAACAAACCTAATCACAAGCCAACTATGACTTCTGGAATTTAGTATGAATAACACGCGCCAATGTTGAAGGAAAACCTAATATGTTCATGGGAAGATAACACAGTCTCTGATCCACCCTCAGGCATTTTTGAAAAATAACTCTGACAATTAGTAATTTTTGCTTTTCATCTGAACCTCAAATCTGGATTTCACATGAGATGCAACTACACTGAACTCTATTCATTTGAAGTACAAAAAGGCTCTGAATTGGTGTCAGGAATTGTAGACGCTCATTCCAGCTCTGTGACTCACTGGTTGTGTGATCTTGGGCAAGTAACCATTACCTCTGAGTTTCAATTTCCTCAACTACAAAATAAGGCAGTTGGTTCAGTTGGTACTTTACATATTTAACCTTCTATGAATCCATCTATGAATAATCTTTTCATAATTTGTAAGCTGTAAGTCTGGCTAGTCACGGTTACCTAAAAAGCAGTTTGTTATCTAATGGTGAATAGGCTAGCAATCCACAGCTCAGGGGATTAGCAAGATTATTCAATACTAATGTACTGACTACAGGTTCTAATAATTTTCACCCCCAGAAAGTGAAAAAATTGAAAATGTTCACATGAAGACCTCTATTTCCACAATATTAAAAAAATAAAACAGAATCATTAAATTATAGAACACTATTGGATGCAGGTGTGATTAAAATCAGTTGTTTTAACCCCATACTCTGCAAAGTGGTTTAAATGGAAAAAAGCTAGTATATCAATAAAATGCAAATATAAGAAAAACATATGAAGAATTGTTTACTCTAAAATGTTTAAAATTCACTAGCAAGAACTTAAGAGCAGTATATGTGATAGTCTTGTTCCTTTTTCTACCTCTACACTGTACAAACACAAATACACAGAAACCTGCCCTCATTCACATGCTTAATTGCTGTGGTTTACAAATCTGGCTGTACGTTAGAAATACACAGGAAGCTTAAAAGACTTCTTACAAATTCTTATAAGCAGGCTTCCCAAGAACAAATGGATCAGAATCTCTGGAAGTGAACCCCTCAACATTAGAATTTTGAAAAAAATTTCCAGATGACTAACATGCAGTCACAGTTGTACCCAGTACCAATTATGAGAGAAGCAGATGGGGTGGAAGCTTTGTTTTTGTTGTTGAAATGATGGGTAGGCTCAGGAAAATAAAGAGGTTTAAGTTTTGTCTCCACTGAAGAAATGTGAAAATTAAAATTCAAGGACCTTGGATTAAAATATAAACAAACATTTTTTTACATTTTTAAAACAAAAATTAACTCCTAATAGTCTTTATTCCCTCAACACATTAAAACCTGCAGACATATTTATATCAATATAGTGAAATAACTTACCTATATAAAGATGCCTTCTACTGATTAAATTCTCTAATTTTTCTAAAGTTACATGATATAGATGCTTAGTCACTGTGTTCCTAAAAAGTTGACAATACATACATTTTGGAAATCTGTATATAATTAAATTCATCAAGAGCATAAATAAGCATTTTATCTGCAATGATGTTATAAGTCATTGAGTTTAGAATCTACAATTACAATTTCACTATGAATAAAAGTAGATAAGATAGCAAAATATACTTCAACAACAGAAGGAATCATGAGCAACTAAGTGAAAACATACTGAGGTTTAAGAAAAGACACCTTTAGAGTCACCTTGGAATGCTGAGTAGGTAGTCTAAGGTGACACTCAGCTCATCCATATTTGTCTGCTCGAGGCATAATGGAATTGTCAAAATGAGGCCACTCCGTCTGTCCTTTCCTCCTATTAAAAAAAAAGATTTCAATTTAACATGTAATATACATTAAGGCATAACCTGAATAATATGTATTTGAATCCAATCTTACTAAAACAATAAGTTCAATACATAATTTGGAAAATATCTAATGGCTACTTATAGATTGTAAATGTTTATGATAATATAGGAGAATTATAGAAAATAAAAAAAAAAAAGGAAAAAATTCACCCATGAAATCTTCACCCACACACAGTAACTATCACTTTAAATTTCTTCCATTTAGTGTGCTCCTTAATGTAATCAATTCATTAAACACCTCTTGTGTGCCCAGCACAATAAGTATTTGCAAGTAAAATAAAATAAATTTCCAATCAACCTACGAAGAAAAGATTTAAGTCATAAGAAACGTAACAGTCTGTTATGTTGTATAAGATATATTATAAAATATTACAAAAAGGGATTTAGAAAATGATTAAGAGCTACAGTAAATGTGAAAAATTTCATTAAAAAGTTAAGACTTTATAAAAATGGAGTTGGGCATACTGGCATGCCTATAGGCCCAAGACTCTGGGGGAGGGGAGAGGAGGGGAGTTGAGGGGAAGAGGGGAGGAGTGGGGGGGGAGGGGGAGGGAAGAAGGAAAGGAAGGGAAAGGGGAAAAGAGAAAAGGGAAGAAAAAGAAAAGAAAGAAACGAAAAGAAAGAAAAATGGGTAGAATTTGTAAGCCAAGTGAAAGGAGTATTCTGTGATGAGGAATGATCTGAGTTAACTCACGAAGGTCAGACAGGCATATACTCTTCATAAGACAATAAAGATAAATCCTTGCCCAGCCGAGAAGAGTGCTTGGGACCTGGATATTGAAGCCTCGAATGAAGGCAGTAGAGTACAGTTACACTTCATGTGCATTCAAGTCCCCATCAGTGTTAATAATGTAACTTTTAAATACTTTTATTCCCACATCGTGTCTTTGAAAGTTTCCTACATGTTTGATTTTCATATTGAAGCCCATCTTCTGACCAAGCTGACATTTGAGGTCATTTTAGAATCTTAAAAAGCAGCAAATACTGAAAGAAACAATTCCATATGATCAACGGACATCTATCACTAAAAACTGAAAGGTGTGAGGCAAAAGACTCAGTGACACAAACGCAATTCATAACCTATGAACTTCTGTCCTCCATTAGGTCAACCATTACTGCTATCCAACCATTTTTTTTAATGTCAACAAATATTCATTGGAGATTATTCAACTTACTAATCAATCAATGACTTCAATTGCATATTTTTTGTTCAGCATATAAGTTTCATTTTTCAAAAAAAAACGGATTAACACAAGTGGTTTTCAAACTGCATCCCCTGAATGACTCTGTTGGTTTGGAAAGATTTTCTCTACTACTAAAAACGCTTGAAAATTACTGGCTTAAATAATCAATGGTCAGGAGAGGAAGTTAATAGGAATACGCTAAGAAATCTTTCATTTACTCTTCAAAATTGCTAAGCTTTATCCACGCATTAACCCAAGCCCAAAAAGAGGCTCACACCTGGACCATGTCACCCTGACTCACTGAAGAATTGTTTTTAGAAGATAAATTTAACATTCAGGGCTATATTTAACTCTATTCCCTCGGCTTTCATTCAGGGACAATAAAACAATCACCAGTGTAAAAGTACAAGAGGGGTGAAAGCTAACAGGAAAAAGACTTTCAAGACAGTTATGGTCAAAGGGTGAAATGCTACACAGAGACAAGTGTCACAAGATGCAAAAATGTCATGGTAAAGATTATAAGAGAATAATAGTGTTCACTATAGAAAAGAGTGTGAGAACACAGGCATTTTCAAACACCATTGGGAAAAATAGAAATTGAAACAATCTTCTTCTTGGAGTTTCAATCTACAAAATCTAACACAAATTTAAATGCGTATTCTTTTTATACCACTTCTACTTACAAAAAGGTATACTGCTAAACTCGTACAAAATACACAAAGCTTTCTAGGTATAAAATTAAAAAAAAATGCATAAAGCTACAAATAAAAAGAAGAATATTTACAACATCATCATTGGTATCAGAAAAGAATGGAGAACACATATATATCAAACAATGAGGGAAGAAGTATTAAGAAAGAAGAAAACATATTAACTAAAAAAACGATAACATTAGTGGAATTAAATTATTTTGTCATTTATAATATATACTAGGAAAACATGTCAATTTACACAGAGACACAATATACTTTGAAAAAAGGACATTAGTATTATCAAGGCAATTAGGAAGAGACATAAAGGAGAATAACACAGAGAAGGCAAGATAATACAGTCCAAATAACTCTGAATTGGCCGGGCTACGGTATCTATGCTAAAGCACGTAGAAAATTACTCAAAGATCCAAACTCTAGAACATCACTACACCCAATGTACCATACCACTGCTCCCACTCAGACTAATGAAACCAAAAGTTTAAAATGATAAACAAGATCAACAGACTCAATAGACCACTAGCTAGATTAACAAAGGAAAAAAAGAGAGGAGATCCAAATAAGGACCATTAGAAATGACAAAGGTGACATTACAAGTGATCCCACAGCAATACAAAAGACTTCTGTGCACAGAAACTAGAAACTCTAGAGAAATGGACAAATTCCTAGAAACACAGAACCTCCCAAGAATGAATCATAAAGAAATTAAAGCCTTCAACAGCCCAATATTGAGTTATAAAACTGAATGATCATTTAAAAATCTACCAACCAAAAAAAACCCTGACCCAGGTGGATTCACAGCCAAATCCTAGCAGACACACAGAGAAGAGATGGTACCAACCCTATTGAAATTATTACAAAAAACTAAAGAGGACGGATCGCTTCTTGTGTGACGCCAGCATCACCCTGACACCAAAACCTGGTGAAGTCACAACAACAACAAAAAAGAAAACTAAAGGATACGTTCATCATATCCCTGATGAACAGAGATGTAAAAATCCTCAAGGAAATACTAGCAAACGGAATCTGGCAGTACATCAAAAAGTTAATTCACCACATTCAAGTAAGCTTTATTCCTGGGATGCAACACTGGTTCAACATACACAAATCAATATACGTGATTCACCACATAAACAGAATTAAAAACAAAAACCATATAATCATCTCAATAGATGCAGAAAAAGTCTTTCATAAAATCCAACATCCTTTCATGATAAAAACCCTTAAGAACCTATGCACTGAAAAAACACAGCTCAAAATAATAAAAGCTGTCTACAGACAAACCCACAGCCAACATCATGCTGAACAGGCAAATGATAGAAGCATTCCTTAAGAACTGGAACAAAACAAGGATACCTACTCTCACCACTTGTATTCAATATAGTACTAGAAGTCCTAACAAGAGCTATCAGGCAAGAAAAAGAAATAAAAGGCAAAGAAATAGAAAACAAAGGAGTCAAATTATCTCTCTTTGTTGACTTTATGTTTCTATACCTAGAAAACCCTAAAGCCTCCACCAAAAGGCTTCTAGAACTGATAAATGACATTAGTAAAATTTCAGGGTAAAAAAATCAATATGCAAAAATAAGTTGCATTTCTAAACACCAACGACACTCAAGCTGAGAGCCAAATAAAGAACATATCCTCACTTATACCAGCCACAAAAAATACCTAAAAAATACACCTAAGCAAGGAGGTGAAATATATCTACAAGGAAAACTGTAATACACTGCTGACAGAAATAACAGAAGACATAAAGTAATGAAAAAACATTCCATCGTCATGGATTAAAAGAGTCAACATTGTTAAAATGGCCATACTACTCAAAGCAATCTACAATTTTTAATGCTTTTCCTATCACACTACCAATGTCAATTTTCACAGAATAGAAAAAACTATTCAAAAGTTCATATGGACCCAAAAAAGAGCCTAAATAGCCAAAGCAATTCTAAGCAAAAAGAACAAACCCAGAAGTATTACATTGCCTGACTTCAAACTACACTATAAGGCTACAGTAAACAAAACAGCATGACACTGGTACAGAAACAGACACATGGACCAATGGAACAGAATAGAGAGAATCCAGAAATAAAGTCACACACCTATAGCCATCTGATCTTCAAAAAAACATGCAATGGGGAAAGAACTCCCTATTCAATAAATGGAGCTGGGATAACTTGCTAACCATGTGCAAAAGAATAAAACTGGACCATACCTTTCACCATATACAAAAATTAACTCAAGATGAATTAAAGACTTAAACATAAAACCTAAAACTATAAAAATCCTAGAAGAAAACCTAGGAAATACAATTCTGGATACCAGCCTTAGCAAAAAATGTATGACTAAATCCTCAAAAGTAACTGCAACAGAAACAGAAATTGAAAAGTAGAACATAATTAAACTAAAGAGCTTCTGCACAGCAAAAGAAACTATCAACAAAGTAAACAGACAACCTACAAAATAGGGGAAAACAGTCACAAACTATGCTTCCAACAAAGGCCTAATATCCAGAATCCCTATGGAACTTAATCAATTCAACAAGGAAAAAACAAACCCATTAAAACGTGGGCAAAGGACATGAACAGACATTTCTCAAAAGAAGATATACAAGGGGCCAACAAGCATGCATATCACAAATAATTACAGCAATGCAAATCAAATTCACAATAAAGTATCATCTCATATCAGTCAGAATGTCTATTACTAAAAAATCAAAAAATAACAGATGCTGGTGAGGCTTCAGAGAAAGGGAAATGCTTATGCATTGTTGGTGGTCATGTAAATTAGAGTTCAGTCTCTGGAGAAAGCTGTTTGGAGACATCTCAGAGAACATAAAACAGAGAAATCTATAAAACAATGTATTTACCTGTAGGTATATACCTAGTAATGGGATTGCTACCATTCAATCCAGCAATCCCATTACTGGGTATATATCCAATGGAAAATAAATTGCTCTATCAAAAACACACACGCATTCAAATACTCCCTATGGCACTATTTACAATTGCAAAGATATAGAGTCAACCTAGGTGCCTATCAACAGTGGAGTGGATAAAGAAAACACGGTACATGTACATCATAGAGTACTACACAGCCATAAAAAACAAGGAAATCATGTCCTTCACCACAATGTGGATGCAGCTAGAGGCCATCATCCTAACTGAATATTGTCACAGAAACAGAAAACCAAATACTGCACATTCTCATTTATAAGTGGGAGTGAAATAATGGGCACACATGGACTTTATGATGGAAGCAACAGACACTGGAGACTACTCCAGGAAAGGGAGAGACGGGGAAAAGGGCTGACAAACCACCTACTGGATACTATGGTCGCTACCTGGGCGATGGTGATTGGACTCCATTGTACCGCAAACCTTAGTATCATGTAATAGATCCATGCAACAGATAGACACATGTACCCCCAAATGTAAAAAAACTGAAATTAGAAAAATAAATTGGACTGCCAAGAAACAGTATAGAGTTAGCTCTCCTAGTTCTCCACTCTGATTTAAAGATGTCTTAAAAATACCTTTTAAATAAAACTGTCATAAAAAAAATAAAATGCATTTGTCATACTTATCAAAGAAAAAACTATTAAAAAGTTTGTATATCAAACACTTCAAATTTTAAGAAGAAAACATACCTGAAAGGAAGGCTAGTTTTTTCTTCAGAATGGGTAATATTACAGAGGCCTCCATTTTACTCCAGTGAACTTCCTTAATTCTGAAAACACAGAAAGTTAAATGTCAACTACAAGCTAACAATTATTCCATGAACTACATCCTAATGATGGTTTATCCCAGAGTTTCTAAACCTGAGAACTACTGACATTCCGAGCAAGATGATTCTATTTTTGTAGGGAGTCATCCTATGCATTGTAGAATAGTTTGCAACATCCCTGGCCTCTACTCACTAAAAGCCAATACCACCCCCCTTTCCCAGCTGTTACAACCAAAATGTCTCTAGACATGGCCAAATATCCTCTGGTAGGCAAAATCACAAGTGGTTGAGGATCACTGGCTTAACTCTTTCTCAGAGCAATACTCTTGGGCTAAAACACTGCCTGGTACATGGTAGCAACTAAAAAAATAATCTGTTGAATAAACAAATGAATCAATCAAACAGGCAGTCAATCTTCCACTGCTTTCCTTATTTATTACACAGCTTAATATTAAACATCTGATTCTTTCCATTTCACTATTAAATGGCTTTCTTTAATTTCTCATATTTTTGCTCCCCTATAACATATGATAATACATCTTATCCTGTTTATCTCACTATATTTTCTAATACATTGTTTCAGTTTTTTTGCCCTCATTGTTAACTGCCTCCATCTCTCTACGTTTTACAGTTTTTAATTTTCCAGGGAAAATTTTGATTAGGCCAGTTAATCTTTTTATACCACGCCACAATTCTCTATTATTTGGTTCAGTTTTCCTGGGTCTACTCAGCCATAGCCAGTGGTTATAGCTAAATACAAAAAAGGAACTACCCTTATAGCAAGGGCTAAAGGCAAGACAGTTTCCCTTAAATGGAGGTTTTATCATAGCAGACATTCACACTTGGCCAGTCCAGAATACTACCAAATTTTGATTTTGAGGAGAATAGGACCTTTCAAAAAAACAACAACAAAAATGAACAAAATGGGATTCAATTCTATTTTCCTCGTATACTTAGTTCCGTATCTGAGAGAGTATTCTCCATCACATTGTATCCCTTCCTCGCCTGTCCCATCTCACACCCAGCCACCATCACAACACAGAGCAGTTCCTTGGAGGGCACTGTGAAATTTTATCGTATTTAGTAAAAGCATATTCTCTTGAAGACAGCTTCTAGTAGAGCAGAAAATATGACTCTTTGCATGAGTATATTACTTATTTGGCAAACACCTGCTATGAACCTATCCCACTTCAAGCTCTTCAGGCTGTGCTACCAGCTATAGCTAAAAACTCAATAAAAAATCCTGCCCTGCAAAAAAAAAAAAAAAGAAAAAAAATCTTTAAAAACCAAAAAAATAGATGTTAAAGAAAAAAAAAGATGGAGTTTTAATATTGATCAGATAATGGCTAATTAAGCAAGACTAATTAAACCAGTACATAATTTTATAGCTTTTGTGTATACAATTTAAAAAAACACCATGACCATTTATATGTCTTCAAAGAGAACAAGCTGTCCATCTAGATGATATATTCGAAGTTCCCTTGAATATTTGCAATTTGTTTAGTAAGTTTGTTCTATATTACTCCAGAAAATAGACTAATAGGAAGTAGGAGGAAAAAAGCTCACATTTTACATCTTTAATCTAAGCCTAGTAGCACTTCATGTTTTCAGATCAATAGCTTTTTCTGATGAGTTGTTATCCAGTTATACAAGAACCCAGAAAGCCTGGATTCACATCTTAGATCTTCTGTCTTATGACCAGCTTGCTGAAGACCTGATTTGAAAGTTTGATAAGGGATGATAATAATAACTATAATCGACTAGGTATTTATTATAAACTATGCACTGTTCTAAACAATCTCTTTTTATTATCTTATTTAGTCTTCACAACAGTTCTACGAGGTGGGTACTATTATTTATTAGCCCCAAGCAGCTTGTTGTTTTCCAATCCCACTATGGGACAAACCCCATCTATTCCTTCAGACTCATCTCTGGGTTGCATCCTAAAATACTGGGATAAATTTGACCCTCAGACTCTCAAAAAGAAAGTTTAATTTTCTTGTGTAATACAACATGGCCACCTTATAAACTTTCAGATCAGGAATCCCCCTGGGCTCCAAGTGGGACCCTTGCCCCCAGTATTATTTTACAGCTTGCCATTTTCTGTTGCAACTCTTCTAAATGGTCTGGAGTTCCTATGTCCAGGCTTTTATGACTCTCTCTCTCTCGGGATCCTGATCTCCACTGATCTCCACCAAACCTTCTGAATGTGCGCAGCTTTATTATCTGGCCCCACTGACTTTTCTGACATTGTGGATGGACTTTCTTTTTCTCTCTTCCATTCTCTCCAGCTAGCTGGATGGGTTGAGACCAGACCTTCTTCCTCTAACAAACTACCTTCACATTCAATCACACCTACTCCAGCTGCTCCCTCTCCTTCACCTTCCCCTCAACATCCCAAACTTCGATGTTGTTTTCCAGTGCCTCCTCTTTATCAGGGACCCTTCTCCCCTTCTCATACTAAGTCAGAGGCCATTTATGATTCCATTTCAGCCCCAGAAAAAGTTTTGCTGCTCCAGGACGTGGCAAATGGGGATCCAGGAACCATTAGAGCCCATGTTCCTTTTCCAGTGTCTGATCTTTCCTAAATAAAAACTAAGCTTGGCTCTTTCAGTCGGGGCCTTTCTCACTTCATGAAGGAATGTAAAGGACTACTGCTTCCTTCTACCTCACTTGGCAGGACATGTATATTATTTTCACCACTTGTTGCACCCATGAGGAAAAATCCCACATTTGGTCTCTGGCTCAAAGGTGGGCAGATGAGGTGTATACCCCAAGCCCCCAGGAGTCTGGCCCAGGGAAAGCTGCAGCACCTGCCACTGATGCTAGGTGGGGTTATCAAGAGGGAGCCCACAGCAGGGAACATTATAATCACATGATCACTTGGCTGATTGAAGGCATAAAAACGGCCATATAAAACCTGTAAATTATGCCAAACTAAGAGAAATAAGACAGGGGTCAAATGAAAACTCAGACCTATTTTATTCCAGGCGGGCTGAGGCTATGAGAATGTATACTAATATGAACCCCAAGAGCCCAGAAGGCCTCATCATCTTTGCTGTTTATCAGCCAGGCATCCCCAGACATTAGACATGAACTCTAAAAGCTAGATTAGAGACCATAAACTTCTTTCCCAACATTGCTGAACATAGCCTTCAAGTTCTTCAATAATTGGGAACAGAATAAGGGGAACAGAGCTACAGAGTAAGAAAAATGCAAGGACAAGAGACAGGCTTAACTGTTGGCTGCTTTAGAAGCCTCCAGCCCATTCGAAATTGTCCTAAGGACACTTCTCCAGGTTAAGTGTCCTTGGTGCAGAAGGACAGGCCACTGGATATGGTTTGGCTCTGTGTCCCCACCTAAATCTAATCTCCAATTGTAACTCCCATGTTTTGAGGAAGAGAATTGTAATCTGCAAATGTAGAGTGACGAAAGTTATTAGATCAAGGGGGCAGTTTCCCCCATGCTGTTCTTGTGATAGTGAGTTCTCACGAGATCTAATGGTTTCATAAATGGCAGTTTCTCCGGCCTTCCTTACTTCTCTCTCCTGCCACCCTGTGCAGAAGGTGACTGCTTCCTCTTCCACCATGATGGTAAGTTTCCTGAGGCCTCCCCAGCCATGCAGAACTATGAGTCAACTAAACCTCCTTTGTTTAGAAATTACCCAGTCTTGGGTATTTCTTTACAGCAGTGTGAAAATGGACTACATAGAAACTTCAGCCTAGATAGTCCTATTTCAGGGGTTTAAAATATAGCCCACACTCATTCAAACAAGCCCTAGCAAGAAACCTAACTGAACAATCTCTTAAGTGGGGATAACTTCTACAGTATGCAGATTACCTCCTCTTGTACTCCCCCCCACCCACAGAACTCACACACCAACATGCAGTACAAACCTTAACTTCCTAACAAAAGGAAAATAATTTTTGTTTAATTCAAAGGTTACTTAAAGATTATACATAAAAACAAGGTAAAAGGAACCAGGGAATAAGAGAGACATGAAAGAAATTATAAAGGTAAAAAGGTATTTTGGGAAAGGAAGGTTATATTCAAAAAAAGGTTTTATATGAGAAAAAAATCTTGTATGCTAAAGTCTTGTTCTAAAGCAAAATGACTGGTTGTTTAAGAAAGAAGAATGTTTAAGTCACAAAGTCCAAGCATGTCAAAAATAAGTCTGTATAGGTCATAAGAAGGTTTGTGAAGAATTTATGAAAGGAATTTTGTGGGTGATTAAGTTGGTTATAACTGAAAGGGAATTATTTAGGATAGTTTTTGTAACATTGCTCCCCCCATGTTAAAACAAGGCTTTCTTAAGGTATTAATCTGTTCTTGATAAAACTGCAACAAGTTTTACCTTTAATTTTATAACGTTTATTTTAAAAGCTTCTCAAAATCATCTCAGTTTAACTTTTGCTGTGTCTCACTGCTTTCCGCTTTTTCTCCCCTAAAGAAGGCCTAATATAATAACACTCTCCAGTTTTTGTCAGCTCCTGTCAGATTTTCCTCCAATTCTAACTGTTACTATGGCCTAATGCTAAACTGTTTCAACTCTAAGGTCAAAAAAATTAAGCAATGTTTTCCTCCAACATAACTTTATTCTGGATCCCTGGCTTCTCTTGATATGACTAAAGTCTCAATGTAATCAAAGAAACAACTTATGCGGTTCCTAAGAGTCATGTACTCCCCTGCTGAACACACATTTTCTGTTTCTAATTAAATTCAAACACTTTTTCATCAAGTTTAACTTTCAGGTTATGTAAATGGGCTTCCAATAAAAAAAATAAAAAATAAAAATAAAAATAAAAAAAAAAAAACACAGCCAAAAAGCAAAGGGTTTGTGTCTCTCTTTTTGGCCAACGTTGACTTAAAAAAAAACAAAATATTATCTTCTAGAATTTAAGTTTCACTTTCAGGATGATGCTGTGAAGTGGATTAGACTCTTCCCAATGAGGACTGCTACCTTTACAAATCTCCCCTGGATTCAGCCAGACACCATTTTCACC